GGTGCAGCTGGCTTCTCTGTTCAGGAGTGAGTGTTGGCTGCAGCCAGTGATGGGGACCTGCAGCCAGGGCAGGGCTCCTCACTCCATCAGTATCCACCCTCCACAGGTGAACACAAAAGGACACTTTTGGGCCTGGAGTAGAAGAGTTTCATGGGGAAATTGACCAGGCAATGAGGAATGTGAACCAGGGATGAAGTCTGTAGGGCACAGTCTGCTTCCATGGCTGTCCCCCGTCTTCCGTGGAACCTGGGACACCGGCTTGCATTGATGTTCCTCTCTGACCTGACACAGCACTGTGTGGCATCAGAGGTTTTGTTTGTAAAGCTCTTTCAGTTCCCTTGTGTGTTTTATAGTAAGTTCAGACTCTGAAGAGCTAGGGTTTGATTTTATTTTTTGTACAGTTATCCTTAAAGAACCAATGCCAACCGTGGAAAATACTTTTATTGAACCCCATGCATATTGAGAAATGTCAGAAGGGGACCCAGGTGGTTATTTTCATACCCAGACTGTGTCTACCCAACAGCAGCCTCCTCGGGGAAAATTAAATCCACCAAATGCAAATTCTATTAGTATTAATTTTTCATCACACAGCCACGAAACAAACTGGACTTTCAGGGTTTTTTTCTGGGTGGGGCTGGGTCATAAATAGTTGGCACATATAATTCCAACATTGATTTGAAAAAATATTTAAAATTTGGTCAGTCATTTCAGTGATTCTAGGGTTTTGTCCATGTGTTGTCAACCATCTGATGTTTCTGAATTTCTGAATATTTCTGTGCTGTCTGGTATCGTATGAATAACAGCTGAATTTCTCCACCTTTCCTCTGAATCGTAGTCTCTATGTCATACATTACATTGATTCCTACCTCTAAGCTATACTGCTATTGCAGTACATCCTAACCTTTTCTGGCTTTTTATCTATCGACTTTTTGGTCCAAGATGTGTGGTTACACTGAGATCTGTGTTTTCTTCATTTCAGAGTCTGGGAAGTATTTGGCGGTTTCCAATGGAAAGTAAAACTTGAATTTCAAAAAAAGATGTAGTAGGGAGACTTACATAAGCATGAAGGGTTTGTTGCATTGAAGAGCAATCTTTGGTATACTTAAGAAATAATTTCAGCATTTTTGGGGTTTTATGGGACCAGTGTATTTCCAAAGCCCTTAACGTTCCTTTGGGGGTTTATCTGTAACTTAGGCTGTCCTCACCGGCTCCTTGGCATTTGCTGCAGGCTGGGTGGGCTGCTGTGAATGCTCTACTAGGAATGACAGTCATATCAGGTGGATCTGCCTCAATTTCTTTGGGTGTGTCCAAATACACTGGCTGCAGGGGTAGCTTCAAAAATCTTACTTTTTGTTTTTTTTTAAGTGTAGTCTCATTCTGTCCACCAGTCTGGAGTGCAGTGGGGAAGTCTCAGCTCACTGCAACCTCTGCCTTCCAGGTTGAAGTGACTCTCCTGATTCAGCCTCCTGAATAGCTGGGATTACAGGTGCCCACCATTACACCTGCCTGGCTAATTTTTGTATTTCTAGTAGAAATGGGGTTTCACCATGTTGGCCAGGCTGGTCTTGAACTCTGACCTCAGGTGATTCACCCACCTCAGCCTCCTCAAGTGCTGGGATTATAGGTGTGAGCTGCTGCACCCAGCCAATGTTTACCTTCATAGAAGATCTTGATTAATAATGACCACCATGGCACATGTATACCTATGAAACAAACCTGCACATTTTGCACATGTATCCCAGAACTTAAAGTATAATAATAATAATGTCCTAGCCCATCAGGGTCTGACTACAGATGGCAAAAATCCAACTTGAGTTCATTTAAATTCCAGAATTCATTGGTTCTTGGAGCTACACCATGGGAAGGGCAGGGGTCCAGCTGGACTTCGGGATGCCTAGAACTATGGCTGTAAGCATCATTGGAACTCTCCCCTCACCTCTGGTCTCTTCTTCATGTGACAGCAAGAGCTGGTCACCAGCAATACCAGGATTCTTCCTCCACAGCCTCATGGGCAGAAAGCACAGGCCACAAGTCCGGTCCAGCTCCAGTTAGGACAATTCCTGGGAAGTTCCCTGGGCAGTTTGGAGTCACAGGTCCATTACCAGGAGAATTTGGGGAGCTTTACTGGATAGACACAAATAATGTGTGTTCTTTCCACGATACAGTATGGATTGGCTTCCTTATAGAGATTTTGTGGTGGACTCTAAGAATTTAGGCAAGCGAGAGGCTTTGGATTCACTTATTCTTACTTTAGGGAATCCTGAAGCAATGGCACCTATTTCAGTGAACGATGGCAGGGGCCACAGTTGCTGAGGGAACTCTCACCCCTCCTGGGCATTGGAAGGAATCTTTCTTGACTGAGGCTGAATACTATAAGAGGTAAAGGAGGAAAGCTTTGTGGACTTTAATTTCTTTCGGTTTTAAGCTACAAGACAAAGAAGGTACTACTTTTGGACTTTAAATTGCCCTTGGGAATTTTGTGATGGGAGGGATTTCTGTGAAAATCTGGGTGTTTTTGTATTGCTTGTTTTGTGTTATGAGCAGATGGTCATGCCGTTACGTCATCTCTTTCCTGGGTCTATGCTGGGCTCTTTTGGACTATTGCATGAACTGGGCAAAATTTGGCATTTGGAATAGGACAGGACAGCAGTAAATTTTTAGCCCAGAGGTCAGCTTGACTTTGGTGTTGGCTAAGAATGAGTTCACCCATTCCAAAGCCTTCTGGGGTCCTGATAGGGGTGGTATTCTCATATTTAACCCCAGGAAGATCCATGGCAGGTCACTGATGAATCCAGGGCATCTCCTGAAGGTGGGGTGAGGTTGTCCTCATCCTCACTCTGAGGGGCAGCCACAGTCTGACCACAGGTTGACTGTCACACCCAGTGGGGTCAGGGACAACCATCTGGGGATGTTCAGGGAGCTTCCATTCTCCTCTCTAAGGAGAGGAACTGTGGTGCTGAGAAGCACAATAGAGGACGTATCTGGCCTATCCCCGTCCCGCACCCCATGGTACAGCCGAGGTCTACTGGGAGGAGTACTGCCTGGCTGGCCTTCTTTCTTTACCTGGTGGCGTGAATGGATTAGAAGCCACAGGAACGTGTGTCTCCTCTCAGGTCTGCCTTCCTATGGGAAGGCTCCATTTGGCACCACTGCCACAACCCTGTGGGAGTTCATGGGGTGAGGTCTAGGCCGGTTTCTCTCAGTCACACCTGGGGAGCTGCATGCTGAGCAGTCTGCCCCGCAGGCTCCTTCTGAGTCCTTCAATGGTCCAGAACAGGAGCAGGGAGACGAGGAGGTAGAAAGCACAATGGTGGCCACATGTTAGAGTCCATACTCTTCAATTCAGCTTTGTCAGCAATAAACCCAATATTTTACTTTCTGACTCTCGTCTCTTTGTTCAATTTTGTTTTGAACTCAAATGTTCATCATGAGGACTTTTGTGTCTCATGCTTCAAATTCAGGAACGGCTGCTTTATACATTTAGCGTGGGGAAATGAAACTGAAATGGGCTTTGTTATTGATCAGCACACTAGAAATATATAGGCCCTTTTATTGCTTGCCCAAATGTATTACATTTGCTATTTGTATCAGTTCGTTCTCACACTGCTAAGAACTACCTGAGACTGGGTAATTTATGAAGAAAAGAGATTTAATTGACTCACGATTCTGCAGATTGTACAGGAAGCGTGGGCGGGAGGCCTCAGGAAACTTACAATCTTGGCGGAAAGTGAAGGGGAAGCAAGTACATCTTTACCATGGTGGAGCATGGGAGAGAGAGTGAAGACGGGGATGTGCCATACACTTTCAAATAACCAGATATTGTGAGACTCTATCATGAGGCAGCATTAGGGGGATGGTGCTAAACCATTAGAAACCACTCCATGATTTAATCACCCCCCACCAGGCCCCACACCAATACTCAGATCACAATTCAACATGAGATTTGGGTGGCGACACAGAACTGAACCATATCGCTATAAAAGATGGGTCCTAGGAATCAATGAGCTGTGTAAGTACGGTGGGACCAGGAGTTATGAGATCCAAAGAGAACTCAAATCTATTTTTGAAGACTTGATTTTCAAATCAAATCAAATGGATTTTTAGTTACTTGAATAATTTTCTCCAGGAAACACTTGGTAGAAAAATCAAAGAAGAAATAGCATTTGTTTTTCATGCAACTGTTCCATTACCCATTGTCTCAGAAAATATTTGGTTACTTATTCAACATTTTATTAGTGGATTTTTCTACCTCATTTGTGGATTTTGGCTTCTTATCTACAATAATTATGTGAGTGGTAAGCACTATTTCAGTGCAATCACAGAAGTTAAAAATGTAAGCATGTTTATCAGCTGCTATTTTGTTTGTAAATAGTAGACTGACTGTAAATCAAACTTAAAGTATTAGTTCACTCACCTAATATTTATTGAAGGTGTTTCTAAATGGTAGATTAACTGTAAATCAAACTTAAAGTATTCATTTATTCACCCAGTATTTATTGAATGCTGACTCTGAGCCAGCACTTTCAGTGCTGTAGCACATTTGGCTAAAATCAGTGAGTTTCGGAGTTAAAATGGAGCATATTCAAGGGACTTGTGCCTGATAGAAGATGTTTTTTTCTTTGTTTCTCCCTAGATTAATTGTGCTCTTTTTCTTTCTTTCTTTTTTTTTTTTTTTTGACAGGGTGACAGAATAAGTCTCTGTCTCTCTCACTCTGGGGTGGGGTGGTTCAATGAGAAATCATAGCTCACTGCATCCTGCCCTCCCAGGCTCAAGCAATGCTCCCGCCTCAGCCTCCCATGTAGCTGGGACTACAGGTGCACGACACCATGCCCAGCGAATTTTTTTTTTTTATTATAGAAATGGGGTTTCATCATGTTGCCCCAGACTGGTCTCAAACTCCTGGGCTCAGGTGATCCACCTGCTGCAGCCTCCCAAAGTGCTGGGATTACAGACATGAGCCACCATGCCCAGCCATGTCATGCTCTTATGACTGCCCCTGCCCCACTCTGAAACCTACCATCCATTCATCTTTTTCCTTTTACCTTGAGAACTTAATGAAGTAACTATATGTGATTAAAAAAAAAATGGAAACAAAACCAAGAGCAAAAGTAATGCTTTTAATCCAGAAAGTTTCGGTTACTATTTCAAATCAGTTTTCTCAGCATAATTTCTCTATGAATTGTGTCATTGTGGCATTGTTTTTACCATTGATTCACTTTATTAACTGATTCTGAACCTTCCTTCTCTTAATTCTGAGAAATAGCGCTTGATAGAGTTCCCTTGAGAGGAAGCATGTTTATTTTCGTCCACCATGGATATGCCTGGACACTGACGGATGACTCTGAACATCTAATTCAGGTGCTTGGACAGGTGGTGAGGTCTGAACCAACATTTTAATAATTGGATATTGATTTTCATTCTGAATATATTCAGTCTGAAACTCATGTTGGACCATAAAGACAGTAGGGGAATTTTGGTCTGGAATGGTTAGGCCAGAATTAGACATGCAGAAGTCAACGGTTTTGCTGATAGTTGAAACCTGTGTAGCATCCCACACTCCTCTCCCTGAAGGCTTCCTGGGACGCGTCTCCCTACTTTTTGGAGCCCAGGACAGCTTTTTCAGAGTCTTGCAGTCTCTTGAGGGAGGGAAGAAGGCCTGGCACTGTGATGTGATTTCTTGGACGGATCTGTACCTGATGCCCTTAGGGGCCGGGATCACTCTAGTTCCTCTCCAGACTAGCTTTCATCTTGATTTATAGACTTTCCTCATGGACCCAGATTCATAGAGTCTCTGAATTGAAATTGGACATGAGGATGTTGTCTGGGACAGCAACTAAAGGATCAAAGTAGAGGTCTGGGGTCAAGGTAGAGGTCACTAACTGGCCGCCAGTGGACTGAGTCTGGCCAGCTCGTGTGTATGTGTGTGTTCTTATACAGTGTGTGTGTGTTTTTAAATGGAGTTAATCACCAATTAATATACAATTGGGAGTTTTCACACAAAAATCAGAGTTTTTAGCTTCTTAGGAAAAAATCTCAGAATGTCTGACAATGTGGAGCCTGGACACTTTTTGTCTGAATTTCTTTTTGTCAGCAGGAACCTAAACTGAATTGTACCTTAGATGGAGCATATACTCTCCATAGATGTCACTTGCTGGAGGTTCATGGTCCTTGAAGGCATTTCGTGGTCTTCATGACTTGTAGGCATGGTCTTTGGAGACTCCTGGGTTGATCTCGGTGATCTGACATCTTTTCCTTTAACCCATAAACCATTTAAGTGAGCACCAAGTGTGTGGGCTGCACTAAGTGAGAAGGTGAGGAAGGGGCAGGTGAGATATGGTGCCCTGTCCACTCTGATGAACAGACCCTGCAGATGTTGGTCAGGTTGGCCCAGGGACCTACCTCTGGACTCAGGCTTCGTTCTGGACTCAGTGTGTCAGCAGCCCTGGGGAAATCTCTGGAGGTCTGTCTGTGCAAGCCGAAGACCCTTCAAGGACAGACACTGCAGAGCCATTGGAATCTTGGAGCCCATCTATCTAAGAACAGTCATGGATCCATACTTTGACCCTTGAACCAAGCTGGCCTCCCTGGGCTCTTTTGGATAAGACCAGGAGTTGGTGCTAGACCAAAGTAAGAAATCTAGTTGCTGACCATGCCCTTACTTTTCATTCTTCAGCAAACCAGTAGAGGTCATATTCCCTATGGGAGCCATGGTGCAGAAGTGTCTAGGCTGGCAATTGCTGGGTGTCTGAAAGACCACCAAAATAGTATTTGGCCACTCAGTCCCTAGAAAAACATTCTTAAATCTGAATAAAGCTTACTGGTATGAACTTTGGAAATGATTTTGCAGTGTTATGAAATTTTTGGAGTCGTAGCAGGCTCTTACTGGGTTTCTTCTTCTGTCTGGAGCATCTTACCATCTGTCTCCGCTGAAAGACAGCCTTGAATGAGGAAGGACACAGACAGGAAATTCTTTTTATTTAACCCAAGTCCCTTAGGCTGCAACTTAAGCTCATTTCCTCATTTTGGATCCTGTGAAGATAAAAAACAGCTTGTCATGGCCCTACCTGTCTTGCAGGGACTGTGAAGTTACCTCCCAGTGTTCCCTCTGTTGGACTATATAATTCCTGTTGAACTGATGTTTGGGTTTGTCCTTTTTCTTTGGAGGCACAGTGGATGGGATAGATAGCTTTAAAGAATGTATCCAGTATCGTCTTCCTTAGATGAGAATATTGTATATGATTACAAAGATTCTATGATTCGTTTGTCTAGCAGAGAGGATGGTCTGTTTCAAGTTTCTAAGGATTCTTAAAAATAAATAAGGACTCACTTTGTCATATTTCATCTTGGTGCTCTCGGAGTGCTGATTCCACAACCTAGACCTCAGAATGCAACCAACAGAACCTGAAACCACATTCACATTCCTTGTACCTTTATTTCACATTGAAGGATTGCACTCATGAGACCTTCAAAACAGTGATCAGGAATAGAACGAACTGTCATACTTCTAACCCCAAGAATAAGTTTTCCGTCAATCTGAGCTCATGCACATTGATTTGCATTTGCTGAAATGATTGTTCCTTAGTTAGACACTGGTTTAGTGACTCCACTCAGAGCTGAGGCACGGGGGTGAGAGGCAGGGCTGGAATGATGGGCGGGATTGCTTTTTATGTGGGCCTCCTGTTTATCTTTTTGTCCAGGTCTCCCTGAGTTAGGCATGGACAAGTTAGGCATGAAGCACCAACAATGAATCAATTTTAAGATCAAAGTCGATGGGAGTCCAGGAAATGAAAATATTTCCTTATCAAGTCGAGCGCGTTGTTTAACTGGCCCAGTGTGTGTTGCGGTGGGTGGGTGGAAGGGTTCATGGTATTTGGCCTAAGGCATTTCAAGAACCTTAAATTCAGGATTGATCTTTATAAGGAGATTGACCATAAGGTTGCCTGTAAGGTTTGGTTTCAGGGTCCCCCAAAGGCCTTTATGATAAAAAACAACCTTCATTAGGTAACTCTCTAAGGCTTAAATAGTCATTATTAGAAAGTCACTCCTGTGGTTTAAAGTTTTGTCATAAGAATGCAAATGTTCCTGACAGCAAACATCACTCACTTATTCCATTCCTTCCAGAGAGAGGGGACGATGAGGACATGCAGCACAAGGTGAAGTGATTGTGTGAGTAGGGAGGAAGAGTGCCCCGAAGAGAGGAAGATGGTGGGGGAAGGTGGGGCGGAGGGTGGTGGGAGTGGTAAACAGTCTGGAGGTCCTTTTAGGATTGTATGTTTCTGTGGATATGGTCATTGATCATTGATAAGAGACCAATTCTGAGGGCCCATGAGCCTCTGGCAAAGCTGGGCTTTGGAGTTGGATAAAGCCTTGCTTGTGGTTGGCTCCATCCCTGGTACAGCTGTGTGACTCTGGGCAATTCACCCACCCTCTCTGTTCCGGCCTCGATTTCCTCATCTGTAATCTAGAGGAGGATGTATTTCCCGGGAGTGTGTGTTGTGAGCTCCTCTTGTAGTGTAACTTTAGGTGCTTAGAACAGTGAGCACATGGTGGACTCTCCATGAGCCCGTTTCCCATTCATTTCAGGTTCCCATTTTCATGTTTTAGGCTAAATCTGCATCATGTGGCCCTTTTCTTAACATGCGAATGCTGGCCCAGGCAGTTATTGAGACACAGAATTTGATGGTATTTGGTGTTTGGTGAGAGGAGAACAAACGGTCATGTGCGGACACACTTGGACACTGGTGGAGTGAGCAAATGAAATGGTGTGCATGAGATTGTGGCAACCAGAGGTAATTTCCCCTTTCCCTTCTTTACCCTGCTCGTCTTATCAGAGCTTTTTGATGGGTTTGAATGGCTCTCCTTACGTTGGGCTGGTGCATCCATTTGAAATGCGGATTCTTATGTGAGTTAGAAATTATTCTGTGCTGTGTCCAAGGATAAACGCAAGGTATTACAGGGAAGAACAATGAACAGATTTACAAATTGCTCTTTTCACATGTCAGTAATAAAAGTAAATCATGTTCTGGCCTAAATAGCTGTGTACTGACTGAATCACAAGTGCCTGGTAGAAAATGTGACAGTATTTGGGTTTCACAGTTCTCACATTTTAGAATGTCTGTTCAAGATCTCACTTTTACTGAGGGATATTTGGAATTAAACTGTAAAGAACAATGCGATTTTGTATATTCATTCATTCATTTTCTTGGGAGAAACACTCAACCATGAGCTTCCATTTGCAGTTTTCGAATATCTTATTTTGCTTCTACACACCTTTTGGTCAGTGTGAAATGTTGGATTCCTGGGAATGATTGCTGCTGAAGTTGCTTGTAGGTAAGGAAACGTAAATGAAAATTAGAGAAGAGTAATCACGATTGCTAATTTTAAATGCCCAGAAAGTGATTGGTGTCTTCATAGTCTTTCCCAACTCAAAATTTCCCAGAGAGCATGAGGCTACTTAACCTGTGATTTCTCCCTCACAGGTCTACAGGAACTTCACCTCTAGAGTTGGGGGGGAATGCTTTGTGGATTTTTGTCTGTGTCCATAGCCTAATATCATGCTTTTGTCTCCAAAATAGACATTCTTTCTCTAATGCTTCAAAATCCTCAAATTCATACTCTTCTTTTATCCCTTGCATTTCTCTAACGAGCTCTTTCCCATGCTAATCTTCTTACTCCAGAGGCAATGGGCAATTTTGGAAAGAGTGATGTGCGTTAGAATTCTCTATGTTTATTCTGTTCAGAATTTTCATCCAATATTAAAATCACATACTAACGCACACATGTGTCATCACACAACACTCTCATTTTCTTCTTCTCTGAGACCTCAGATGTGTTTTTCTTAATTGTTACTAAGTTTAAAGGTTGTTGGTTTTGTTTTTAGGTTCCTTTTTTCTTTCCTGCAGCATGCCTTGCTTTACTCAATAGTCAGTTTCAGTTCCAGGTTTGCCCCAGATTTGTTTGACTGTTGCCTGAATATTTTGCATACAGTTATATTATATTGAATTACAATATCAGTTACATCGTGAGCTGAGAGATTTTGTTTGACAAAATGTTATGTTTCATTTTAGTAATTTTGGAAATGAAGAGAATTTCTTTGGACCCTCATAACTCAAGATAAAAATGTGGTTGTACTTTGTACTAACTTGTTTTTCTTCTGGAACAAAATATGGAAACATTTAAATTAGATACATGCAGATAGAACTGGAGTTTTACTGCACCTTTACGCTGTTGATGATCTTGGTTTGTTTTCTTTGTGGAAATGAATGCTTTTGTTATCTCACTTAGAATACAACGGATATTCTTCTTAAGCAGGACAGTTTTACGTTGTTTTCTCAGAGGTATTTTAAAGATTGTCCAACTGTATCACACAACATACTAACTTATTTACTATATAATGCTACCGGAGAATATGGCAAATTACTAATTTGTTATTCTTGCACAAGCGAGGCAATGTAATTAAACCAGACAATGCCTAGAGTTTATTTTGATCTGTTCCCTTTTTGGTTTAAATTTACCACCCACAGTTATCCGAAATGCATGAAGCCTTGTGGGTTTGGTATATTTGTTTTGTTGCTATACTGTAATGCTGTGCAAATACATGACTGTACTTAAAGTCTTTCGGATCATACTGCTTAAACGTCATTTACTGTCTTCCTAACAATATCAAAGAAGATTAAAAAAATTCATTCTCCCAATCTGTTATTGCCATGAGTTGATAGTTGCGCTGTTTACATAGTTGACCACCCACTGAAGCCAAGGCACGTGAAACTGCTGTCCACTAAAATGGGCCTGAAAGTCACATGGGACCCACCCAAAGATGCTACCAGTAGACCTGTGGAGCATTACAACATTGCCTATGGGAAGTCACTGAAAAGTCTTAAATACATCAAGGTGAATGCGGAGACATACTCCTTCCTTATTGAGGATGTGGGTAAGTGACACTCTGATCTTGTTCCCAGTCAGAATTAACTGTGCACCAATGTTCTCAGTTGCATTCTCAGGATGACTATGAGACAACCCATGGCTTGGCTCAAGGTCCCTTGCAGTTCTTTGGGAATAGAGAACTGAGTTCTGAGACTCTCATGGGAGGCTGCTGATTGACAGCTGGCATTGGGCACTTGGGCTTCCCCATCCATGCATGTGAACTCAAGTGTTTCTGTCTCCAAACTGATGCAGCAGATAATTTTTAGTTTCTGAATGTGCTCTTGGAAAGTAGATTGATCATTTTTACTTCACAGAAATTTGACTGCTAGACAAGCGAGCTGACCTAGGGACTTCTAACTTATATGCCATTTTATAAACAGGGATTGGGCAAGCTGTATGTCCCTGTAAATGTGGAATATCTTATGCCTAGCCACGTCTGGTTAAAGATGTATCACTTTGCCCTATTTAAATTTGATTTTAACTTGATTCTGAAGGTTTGGAATATTTGAGAGCTTGCCTCAATATATTTTGTCTTACAAGTGCAGATGTAGTTGGTTTTGGGCTTAGGTTTGAGCTGCGTCTGAATCCTCTGTCTTCTACTTTTTGATTCCAGGAAACTAAAGCCCCATTGACTCTTGCCCCATGTCATTAAGATGGATCATAAGGAAAGAACAGAAGTTGACATTTAGGAAACAGGTCTCCCCTTGTGCCACCTTAGCACTTTGATCCTTTAGTGGATCATGATCAGCTGAGGGCCCCTCAGCTTTGTTCACCTGACCACAGATGACCACACTTACTCCTTCTCCACCTCCTGCACTTGACATCACACTCCCTGGGTAACAGAGCAGGAAGTGTATAAAAGGGAGATGAAGGAAGACAGATTCCTTTCCTCATGGCTTCAGCTAAATGTCCATTTCCTTGAATCTCTTTTACATCACCCTGGCTCTCTAAGTCCAGCTGTGAGGTTAAATGGAGATTCTATCAGATCAAAGGCATGAGCAGATCATATTTGCTTGCTCAAACCTTGAGTTGTTATGATGGCTGCAGAGAAGGAAAACATGTGAAAAGAGAGTCATAGAGCTCACTAGAAAACAAATAGTATCTCCCAGACAACTTTCTGATGAGTTAACTGAATGGGAATCAAACACATGTGGATTAAATGTCTTTGAAATACAAACAAGCTCAGAGTAAAGAGAGAAAGTGTCTGGCGAAGCATGATTTTGCATTCTGCCTGACCCCAGGCCATTTCCCAATTAGCCTGGCCTGTCATGCCAAACCCCAAATGCCACCAGGCCCTGCCACAGTGAGGTAGAAGTCACACCAGTCTTGATCACAGCAGACATCCCAGAGGGTGTCAGCCAGGCTTTTGTTCCTGGGCCTCCGGTTTGAGAACTAGTGAAATTTTGTTACAGCAATGCTCCCTGCTTTGAGACATGTCATTGTCATTATGACCTTTGACAGAACTAACTCTCACCTCTCCAAACCTCATCCCCTGAAATACCCACAGACTTTCATCTCTTCAAGGAATTGGCACCCCACTTACCTGTCACGAGAGAATGATTCATTGTCAGGAAACCCAGCACTCACAGAGTTTTACTTTGCAAAGCTGCACTTTCAGGGTGCACTCCCCCATAACATGGGTCTTGGTTTCCTTTCCATCCCATCAACTTTAGGAGCGCAGCCTAAGCGACCTCTGTTATTGGGCCTTGACCCCTAGATGAAAGTCAAGATTGAAGCCCAGTTATGTCAAGATTAGCATTTCTAAGACTCTAGGAAATATATATTTTCTAGCTTTTTGTTGGAATGGTCAAAAACAACCTGCAGACACAGTAAAGGGAACGTTTTATTGTGAAAAACAGAAAATTTTGTGAAGCTTTATGCACTGTGGTGAAGATTTCCCATATGTTAAATTTTATGAATTTCATTGACATTTCTCATTATTTTCTGGAGATTTTCATTTGGAGCCTCTAATGGGGAAAGATTATTAGTAGAGACTGACAGTGTATGTTCAAACACCTAGTTAGTGGACAGGGAGTTCCTGTTTCCTACATGGATTTCACATTAAAGCCCTCAAAAGCTCTTTTTGTTGACTGTTTATGACTCCAGGTTTATTACAGATAGCATGTGCTTTGTATAAAATAAAGTTTATATTCTTTGGGTCATGTGGTTTTTAGTTGCATGAGAAGAATGTTAGTGATTTTAATTTTAAAAAAGAGACATCTATCATTATACTTGTCACTTAATTTGGAGTTTTGTATTTGCTTATAACTGGTATAAGGAAGATGGTTATTCATGGTGAGTGAGTGAAACTGTGTCATTCTTGGAGATCTGAATCAGTGGCTTGATATGAACCATATGTTTCAGAGCCGGGGGTAGTGTACTTTGTGCTGCTTACTGCAGAAAACCACAGTGGAGTGAGCCGTCCTGTTTACAGAGCTGAAAGCCCACCTGGTAAGTCTTATCTGGAATCAGAGGCTGTAGTGTTGTTACTTAGATTGAGAGAGACATCCCTTCTTGCTTCCCTTGCTTCTTCCAGTAAATCTAGAGTTATTAAATAATTTCTGAGTAAGGACTTTTTAGACTTGTATAGCAAGCTGACAGACTGAAAAGTGGAAGAGACTTATCCTTTCTTTTAAAATAGTTTTAATGTAGATTATTAGCATTTCATCCAGATGTTTTGAATCAACCATGTGTAAAAGACCAAAAATATGTATTGCCCATAAAGCTGAGGAGTCGAGTCACTAATATGGGCTGAGCAGATTCTTTTGAAGATTGTTGAAAAGATCATTTAATTACACATTATGGATGCACTGAAATGTGGAAATCCCAATGGTCCTCATTTCTAACTATCAAGTTGCATTTCCCTAATTTAGGAGGTGAATGGATCAAGATTGATGGTTTTCCCATTAAGGGTCCAGGACCATTTAATGAGACCGTCACAGGTACTCCTTGCTCCTTCATGTCAGATTCATGTTTCCACTGAAGCAACGTCTCGCGAGAGAGTTGTGCTTCCGTCACACACATGTGCTTACAAACTTTCATCGAGTTCCCATCGCTAAACTAACACACGCCACAGTCTTGGTCTATCTGTTCTGCATCTGATGAACTAGACTGTAACCAGTGTTGCTTACTGTTCACCGTTCTTTCATGTTCTCATGTGGGGAGGTGTCTGCGTCTACATCTGGGGATATTGTCGCCCTCTTCACAGGCAAATATGGTGGTTGAGATGGCAGTACTGACCCGCTCAGGATATTTATAGCTCTTCTACCTGTGAATCCATGAATGGGGCCCCCACAAAATAGTGGCTTTTATGGGCTAACATGTTGCTTCAAGTCTTGCTTTTTTCTTACGACCTTGGGATATTGTGTGATATGTTAGATGACCTACCTTCCATCTCTGCTCCATATTTGTGTATCTGTTTGTTTTCTCATTTGGATGTTGATGTTGTCTGGTCATATTGTTTAATTACTGAGAAAAGTGTTGACATTTCTTGTGTGTTTCTTGAATATATTTAATTGATGATGAAAAAATAATGTAAAATGAATGCAGCTATTTCAGAGTACAGTTGGGTAATAATATCTCAAAGGCAGTATGGTGAAGAGCTATGTTTTATTTTCATGTGTTATGTGTTTAAATATGTCAATCTGGTGTTACTGTTGACAGAAAGGTGAGTATGATGAAACCAAGGACATTTATCTCCTTTTCAGACCAGATTTGATGGGTGTAGGTGGTTTTCAAAGGATGCATGCTATATGAAAAGGGGGCGGAAGAATAAAACAATCAGAAAGGAAAACTGGCTTTTGGGGAGAGGCTAAGTGTCCTTGTTCGAGTGACTGCGAGGTGTTGCAATGGAAATGTCTTGTAGATGATTTGTGAAGAGAGAATGGAAGTTGGAAGAGGGAAGTAAGAATGAGATATGGATTTAGGAGTCATGCTCTGGGGCAAGAGTTAAAGCAGAGAGCACATGAGTGGCTGAGGTTTAGCAGAGAGAAGAGCAGGAGGCCGGGCATCAAACCATGCAAATACTGACAGCCAAATGGTCAACACGTTACCACACCTAGCAAGTGTGCAAAAGAAGAAAAGCTGTTTTTTTTCAGAGGTTGTTTACCCCTTAAGACACACACTGAAACAGACACACATGAATCTTTTACTGATGGATGTTTGTGCTTTGCATTTGAATCTTACATTTTGTGTTTTAAATAAGCGTTTTATGTATGCATCCTTCCTGATAAAGTTTTTTGAATGACAGTAGCTTTAGAACAAGTGATTTTCTTGCTTCGTCAGAAGTAATTCACTTCTTATGCCCTCTTTAGTAGTGTATGTGCACACAAGTCTGTAACCTTTGTGAGTGAGCAAGCAGAAGCCCTGGGGTCCAGGGATCAGGCAGCCGTGTTCCAGCTCATTACTGGTTGTACGTACTGTCAGATTATTGAACTTCTCTCTGCAGGAGGCTTTGTAGGCCCTGGTTAAAGCACTCTGCTATAACACATGATGTTTCATTTGTCATACATGATGACTAAAAAAAGATATCAGAAGAAATTGCTGGCTCAAACCACTTGAAGCATATAATATAAAGCAGAACTGAAAAAAAATTAGGAATATCCAGAAAGCACATACCAGGTTATAGTACTCCACAAACTACATTTCATTGTTAATAAAAATCATAATTGTTGTGAAATTATCAATCAGTGATCACCATGTACCTAACCTTTTGATGAGGCTTAGAAAATATGATCTGCTATTATTCTGACAAATTGTTAAATAGATGATAATCTTGCCAAACAAAATAAGTATTCAGAATTCCCTGTCTTCATTCAAAGAAAGGAATTTGCCTTCAAAAATGCAGACATTAGCACTGGGACCTGGTGTAAGGCCCAGAGGAATTCACTTTAGTGCTTCGACTGATGGGGTCTCGTGTCTTTCCTGTGTTTTATTAGAAACTAGAGGAATATCCATTTTTTTATGCTGCAGTTCTGATTCCAGAAGGCCCCCTTTTGCAGGCTTACTGCCATCTCAACTGAATTGTCTTTACCTAAAAATAGGACTTTAATTATTTAATTCATTTATTCCAGGCGGAGTTCTAGGTGCTAGAGATACAAGATAGACGAGGGCTGACCTTAATGAAACTTACATTATAATGAGAAAGAAAGATGAACAAATAGCCCCAAATGATGCATATAGTCTATAAGTTTGCTGGGGCTGCCATAACAAAATGCCACAGAATGGCTGGCTTAAACAACACAAATTTATTTATCTTGATTATTGGGTCTAGAAGTTCAAGGTCCCGGTGTTGGCAGGCTTGATTTCTCCTGAGGCCTCTCTCCCTGGCTTGTAGATGGCCACCTTTCTGCTGCATCCTTGGATGGCCTTTTCTCTGTGAGTATGCATCCTTGGTATCTGTGTGTCCAGATTTCCTTTTTATAAGGTCACCAGTCAAATTGGATGAGGCCCCACCCTAATGACCTCATATTAACTCACCTCTTTGAAGACCCTATTTCTGAATATGGTCAGATATTAGGACTTCAACATATGAATTTGGCAGAAGGGACACAACGAAGCCCATAACAAACTCATAAATTCTTTGAAAAATAAACGGCACTATAATATAGAATAGGCAGATGGGAATGAGGGTTTGGGAGGCTGGGAGACCCTGATGAGACGGTGGCAGCAAGTTGAGACTGTGAGGGACTGTGAGGGTGAAGCCACATGGGGAGGAGGAGGAGGACCATGCCAGAGAGTCCTGGAGGTTGGGGAGGACTTAAGTAATTCTCAGACTGGTCACTCATCCAAATATGAAACCTCCTGGGACTCCGAAAATGACAGGACTGAGAGAATGCAGCACGAGGGCGGCAGTTGTGGCTTCCTCCTGTGTTGCTCATCTCACACGGCAGACTTCCTTTGTACTTGATGCAGAATCCCGCTGGCTGGGATGTAAATCTGTATCCTCTTGTTCTGTCCCCAGGGAAGAGATGTCACAACGCTGTTCATGTGTTGGAATACTATTATGTAGCTTTTCTGCAGACTTCTGCAAGTTGTTTTGACTGTTTTCTATAATAGGATCTGGGTAACCTGGCAGTGCAGGGCCAGGCCCTGGGGGTCAGGACAGGGACACAGGCACGTCCCCACTCTGCTACCTGCCAGCCTAGGGCCTCAGCGCAGCTAGTTGGTCAGCTTTTGTCAAACTTCATCTGGGAAACAGTGTGAGATTCTGTTTAGTTCTGAATATGATTATATCTGTTTAATAATTTTTAAGGTTTTCTAAAAATCAAGTCCTCTGTGCTTTTCTCAAGTTTTGGAGCCTAAACTAGGCCTAGTACTGAAATCAAAGTCTGATTTCTGCCTTGTTTTTCTTTACATTATATTTCAGTTCACGATGCTTGCTTTTTTTTGGACAAATGATAGCTTGGACTCAAGTTCGCACAGAGTCCACAATTACTCCTCGGACATTTCCAGTGAATGCTGCGTGACACTCACCTGTTGTCCAGCCATTCCCTTCCTTATCTTGGTCACCCACCAACTTCCAGGTTGCTCCCTAAATCCAGCACCTTCAGGCACTTGGTGCATAGTGGGTCTCCATGCCAGGCATCCATGACAGAGACCCATTTGATATTCTCACCTCCTGGCTCTAACTGCCATTCCCCTCATGGAGTTAGAGACAGGGTTTACCCTTTCAAAATCTAGAATCGTGGAATTCACATCTGTTCACCATCCTCTCACTGCCCCAGTGCCCTCGTGTTATGAGTTTAATTTCAGACCGTCGCAGACTTTGGATCTGTAGACCCGTCCCAGCTGCAGGGTCCAGAACTTGCCACCATCCTGTTTCTTCTTCACTTTATCTGGGTCCCATCGTTCTAACCACACTCCACAGGCAGGTTGCCCTGTCCTTTCAGTGGCTTCACTGCTGGAGCGCTGCCTCTGCCTCTGCCCGTGGCACCGCCAGGACCCCCAGCTACCTGGCTTTCTCTGTCTGCCGTGCTGAGGGCTGGGCTTTGTGAGACAGATGAAATGCTGATCTGATCTAAGTTGCTCTGGCTCATCTGAGTGGCTTTTCTCACTTCATCCAGGCTGTGTGTAATGAACCTGGAGTCATAAACAGTCAACAAGAAGAACTTTTGAGGGCTTTAATGTAAAATCCATGTAGGAAACAGGAACTCCCTGTCCACTAACTAGGTGTTTGAACATACACTGTCAGTCTCTACTAATAATCTTTCCCCATTAGAGGCTCCAAATGAAAATCTCCAGAAAATAATAAGAAATGTCAATGAAACTCATAAAATTTAGCATATGGGAAATCTTCGCAGTGCATAAAGCTTCACAAAATTTTCTCTTTTTCACAATAAAATATTCCCCTTACTATGTCTGCAGGTTGTTTTTGACCATTCCAACAAAAAGCTAGAAAGTATATATTTCCTGAAGTCTCAGAAATGCTAATCTTGGCATAACTGGGCTTCACATCTTGACTTTCATCTAGAGGTCGAGGCCAAATAACAGAGGTCTCTTAGGCTGAGCTCCTAAAGTTGGCAACTTCCTGTTTGTACTCACGCAGTTTCCTTTCTTTCCTCCACAGTGGCTAGTCCAAAATGTTACCACTTTGCTCCAGCCTGTTTCCTGGCCTGAGTTCCTTTCACTTCTAGCAGGTGACTTGCTTCCTGCTTCCCTGCAGGGGCGGGGAGGGGGAGGAATGCAGGTTTCAGCTGACATCGCTTCCCTCGTTTCTTCTCCCTCCTGAACCCTCACTGCTGCCTTCCCTCCTGCTGGCTCAAGGAAGGACTGCTGTCACCTTCTCTTTAAGGCTGACTTCATCTAATCAGTTTCTTGGAAAGCATGGTAGACCTGAGGGCAGCTCTGGGGTGGGATTCAGCTTTGGATCTCTCCCAGTGCTTGGCTCAGAAAGTTGATACTTACTGTTGAACTAATTATTTGACACCAAAGCAATGAAACT